GTCTTTCTCTGATTGACTTATTTCGCTCAGCATAACACCCTCCAGTTCCATCCACGTCGTTGCAAATGGCAAGATCTCATTCCTTTTGATGGCTGAGTAATATTCCACTGTATATATATATCACATCTTCTTTATCCATTCATCTGTCGATGGACATCTTGACTCTTTCCACAGGCCAAACATCATTCTTGAAGGTCAGTGGTAACACTTGAACTGCCAAATCTAGTGGCCATTTCTAGATCAAATTCTTAAGGAGGAAAGGCATGGTATTCTGTTTGTTTACACTCCTTCACTAAGTAATCCTGAGCTCCCCCAGAGCAGGCATATTAGGACCTGCAACCCCATTTCTTCGTCAGCTGCAGAGATTACAGAGTTCTAATGGTCTTCCAGTTCAGGCTGGTCTTCAGGCCTTTCTTTCTCTGACTCAAATACCATGTGTTTCTGAGGGTCCACCCGGGTCCTCGTGTTCCTTTCTCATGCTCTACATAGCAAACATCCATAGCATCAACTACCAACTTTACATACGTGATCTTAAACTTGTCATTCTTTCGATCACTCCCTCTTGGAAAGGGGGCTCAGATCTATGACTTTTGGATGTCTTTGTGTGTGTTTTGCTGGAACTTCAAATTACTCACCTGAAATTATGTCATAACCTGTTTATGCCACAAGACAAACTCCTCTGACCCTCAGATTCCGAGCCTTAGGGAAACCTTTCTCCCCTTGCCTCTCAACCCTACGCCTCCCCTTCCCCTCGTGGAGGACACACACATGCCTCCCATTCCTTCCGCCCCGCTCTGGCTCAGGTCTGTGTAACCTGACCCCTAAAAGCACCAAAACAGCCTCCGCTGTCTTCCCGCTGTCACCTGACATTTTCAGGTTTACACGATGCTCTAAAATACAGAATTTACCATTAAGAGTAACTTCACCCCCCTTCCTTCAGTACCCCTGGATCATGTCATCCCCTTGCTCCAAAACTTTCAGTGGCTCACCACAGCCAAGAGGATAAAAGCCCCAACCTTACAGTCTGGCCTTCACACTTTCCTTTTAAAAGGGTCTCTTATATGCAGGGAGTAATTCTCACTCATTCAGAAAATCTCGAGTTTGGGGATTAAAGTTGCAACAACTGAAATATAAGAAGTTTGAAAATATTTAGTGTTTTGAGTACATCACTCCAGTCTACAACTGAAGCTACTGGGGAAATATTCAAAGGACAAATGAATAGCCCATTATTCTACCCAAGTCTATCTCATCCTCAGAGTTACCTCTATCTCATCCTCAGAGTAACCATACCACTGCAGATACCTTCTCCAAAAGAAAAATCGAAGCAGACTTATTTTAATGTGATACAATTTATAAAAGAGCCAGGAACATACTTACAATCTAGAAGTAACAGATTTTAAGAGAGCTAAATCACAGAGTTCGTTTAAGGTCATTTCACGACTTGTTTTCATTTAGAAGAATACGAAGTAAAAGACTGTTGTTTTAGGATTTAAATTTAGACCAAATAATCTCATTGAAAGGCCAGCAATACAAGTACATTTTCATAGTTAATGAAACATCTATGGGTCCTGAATCACAACAGTAAAACTAATTTAATAGTGAATTACGAGAGCATCATTTACCTGCAGACCGGCTCTCTGGGAGCGAGACACTGCCTTAGCCTTGGCCTTCCCACTGTCCTTTCCGGCTTTGCCTCCAGCCTAAGTGAAAAAAAGCTCCAGATGAAGAGTTGAAAATGCTATTTCAAAAATATTTGGGAAACAATTTCTTCCAGTTTTACCTCAGGTAGTTAAAAAAACTCTAGGTGATCTCCTTCCTCAATTTCAGATATACATGTGTTATAGCACCATTTATTAATTCATATAATCATGATGTCAAACCTTAAATATTTATTTAAAATGAGGTTCCTAAAAGTTAATTTAGGTTAAATTTAACCCTGAAGAATCTTCATCAAGTCAATATAACTTTTACGCTGGAAATGTTTCATAATGAAATATTTTAAAGACATTTTAAAAAGTTAACGTGTATCATTTCCACAGAAATAGTCAGAAGTTAGCTATTTGGGGAGAGAGGAAAAAAAGCACCTTAAACAAACCAAACCCTCAAAAACTTACTCTTGGAAACAGCACGTGACCCAGCAATCCCACCCCGGGTCTCCACCCCCAGGACTGAAAGCAGGGGCTCCCACCGCGCACGTCCAGACAGAAACGGCCGTGTCTCTGCAGGTAGGGAGTGCAGTGCACGCGTAAAATGGACGAGTGCTCAGCTATAAAGAGGACATTCTGGCACCTGCTCGGACACGGACAAACCCTGAAGACATGACCCTAAAGGACAAATACTGTTGATGCATCTTACAGGAGGCCCCTGGTCCCAACCAGAGGGACGCAGAGAAGGGTGGCTGCCAGAGGCTGGAGAGGAGCTGGAACAGAGGCTTAGTGCGTAATGGGTGCAGAGTTTCACTGGGGGAAGAAGGAAGAGTTCTGGAGATGACTGGCAGTGGTGGCTGCGTAACAATGTGAATGGACTTAATGCCCCTGACTGGACACTAAAGAGTGGCTAAAATGGCAAGTTTGGTTACGTATATTTGCTTCCAGCTTACGCTAAAAGGGTTAAACAAACCCTACTATCAACAGAGAGCAAAAGACATATTCAAAACATCTTACCGCTCACAAAAGGACATCGTACAGAAACGCAAGGGGAAATTACGCAGCCATTTCAACAAATGAGACGTGGGTATGTGCGATACAGAACCCCTACAACATATTTCTTCGAGAAAAAGGCGGAGCATGTACGAGTGCAGTGAGCTTTTACTTCTGTAACACGGGGCACTGCACACACAGGACGTGTGCACGTGCATTTCCGGGAGATGGCAGCAAGTCAGACAAGTTAGGGGCCTCTGGGGAGGGAGCAGCGAGAACCCGACCTGACAGAGAAACCCAGGTTCTCTTTGGACTGTGATTTTACCGGCCCAATCCGATACGGCTTCAGTTTAAAAAAAAAGCTGGTTAAAATTTAAAATCAGTTTACAAGATGGGCCAGCTGTTTCAGGGAGTGGAGGCCAAGCTTTGGACCCGCAGATCCTTCCTAATGCGCATTTCTTAAAAGAATTTGTAAGCTACAAAAATCAACTGCACACACTCCGCCCAGTTGCCTATCTCAGTGGTTGGTTGGTTGGTTTTCTTCTCAGTTGGTTTAATGTTTAGCTCCCAAAACGCTGGTAGGTCTTGGCAGGCAGAAGCAGGAAAAACGTCTACAAACTAATTCCTTCCTTGCGGTCGGTCCTTCAGCGCCTCTCACTTCAGTAACTCCCGACCACACGGCTACACAGGAGGAGGACCCTGTGTCATTTCTGGGTTTCTGGCTTCGGCTGACACTGAGGTCCTCACTCACTCGTCCAACACAGAAAGCGTTTTAGCCCCGGAGTCAGAAGTTTACAGCGACGGCCGCTGTCCCCGGGCCGAGTCAGGAAGGAAGAGCGAGCTCCCCATCACGAGCCGCCACCTGCCAGAGCCCGAAGGGACTCTCGTCGCGCGGGGCCAGCCGCGGACCCGCCGTGGGCGCTGTCCCACTCGCTCGGAAAGGCAGCGGGCACCAAGCCGCGGGCTTCCCG